TCCCCCTGCTCAAGAAGGCACATGTACAGGCCCATTTAAAGTTTGCCCAAAAACATCTAAATGATTCAGAGAAGGCTTGGGAGAAAGTGCTGTGGTCAGATGAGACCAAAATTGAGCTCTTTGGCATTAATTCGACTTGCCGTGTTTGGAGGGAGAGAAATGCTGAAATGCATCATCCCTACAGTCAAGCACGGAGCTGGAAACATTATGCGTTGGGGCTGTTTTTCTGCTAAAGGTACAGGACGACTTCACCACACTGAGGGACAAATGGACGGGGCCATGTACTGTAAAATCTTGGACGAGAACCTCCTTCCCTCAGCCAGAACACTGAAGATGGGTCTTCAAGCATGACAATGACCCGAAACATACCGCCAAGGCAACAAAGGAGTGGCTCAAGAAGAAGCACATTAAGGTCACGGAGTGGCCTAGCCAGCCTCCAGACCTCAATCCTATAGAAAATCTGTGGAGGGAGCTGAAACTTCCAGTTTCCAAACAACAGCCAAGAAACCTTAAGGATTTAGAGAGGATCTGTAAAGAGAAGTGGATCAAAATCCCTCCTGAGATGTGTGCAATCCTGGTGACCGACTACAAAAAACCTCTTACCTCTGTGCTTGCCAACAAGGGTTTCTGCACCAAGTACTAAATCATATTTTGCTTGGGGATCAAATACTTATTTCACTCACTGAAATGCAAATCAATTTCTAACCTTTATATAATGTGTTTTTTCTTGATTTTTTGGTTGGTATTCTGTGTCTATCTGTTAAAATTAACCTACCATAAAAATTACAGACCCTTCATTTCTTTGTAAGTGGGCAAACTTACAAAATCAACAGGGGATCAAATAAAGATTTTCCCCACTGTATATATATATATATATATATATATATAATTCTTTCAATTTTAATAGACAAAAAAACGGTTGGTAGCGGATAAATTGTATGTCTTACGCAAATGAAAATAATGCAAATAGCTCATTGATTGCAGGTTATGTTTGTAGTTCAAAGGCTCATGAACTGCAAACATTGCTGTTTTAGGCTTGTGCTCAATATGTGTGGAGAGGAAAAAAGGCAACAGCCACTTCACATCCATCTTCAATGCTGATTCAAGATCCTTTGGTGTTTATTGCTGGTTGGCAAATAGCTTTCAGTGCATTAGCACCATGAAATGTTGATATCTAATCGATTTAGATTTATTTATTGCAGGATGAAGAAAAATAGCATGACACACTGTCCAAAGGAAAAAACAAACAAACTTTGTGCCAAACATTTACGTTTGGTGTGAAAGGGTCTTTAGACCTGCTGTTGTCTATGATATGGTTATTATTAGTCAAATAACAATGGGTCAGTGACAAATAAAGATGAGTAATAATTTTCCATGGTGTGATATAATTGTGTTTAATGGTTTTCCTTAACTGTCCTGGTAATTGGTTTATTTTATCTGATAACTGGCATGTGTTCAACAGCATACTGGTTTTATGGGAATATCATTGGCATTGGTATCGACTACTGAAACTGTGATTATTGTGACAACCCCATTCCTTCCAGATGAGAAATGACTCCTGGTTTGTTCTTAGATTTTCCCCAAACGTGCATAACAGTGATAAGCTCTGTTACTATGACTTATCATCATACATTTTAAAATCGGGAAGGCTAAGGCCATGTTGAATTTTTCATATCATACTCACAGGAACTCTGTCTGGGTACTTGTTGCGGATTTTGGCCGACTCCACACACCTGTGCTCTGAATGATGGATGCAGAAAGACAAGACATCGATCAGCCACCATGCAATGCTCTTCACATCATTAATATTCATTAGAGAGTGTTCGGAATACGAGTGGATTCTCATTAGTCATACTCATCCGCATTCTTTTTTAATAATTATAAATAGATTTAAGACTACACACAAGCACACACATTGTTCGACAGTGTAACTAACAGTGTTGGGAAGGTTACTTTGGAAATATAATAGCTTACAGATGACAAGTTACCCTATCTAAAATGTAATAAGTAGTGTCTCTAGTGACGTCACCGCGACAGCGTGCCTACGTCACGGCGCGGCTGACTGCTCGATTCCGGGGTTGTTTTCTCACACGAGTTCGTACATTTTGCAGCAGCTACACTTATTCGATAGCAGAAACCGAGTGATTAAACTCATAAGTTGTGTTTGTAAACGTGATTTAGATTAATTCATATCTAATAGTGCGCATACTTCGCGCAAGGCCGAGTTTCGCGCGGTTGCTATGGTGAACAGATGACGCCGCGCCACCGGTTCGTTTGCTAACTTAATCACAAGTTTGGACTTTATTAGGTTTTTGCCCTAAAAGTGTTATACTATTTAGACGAAATTGATTTTTGTTGATCGTTGCTGGTGAATGTATTCGACAATGCACGCCGGATATACACGCGCTTAATGGTGTTGGATGGGAGCTAATATTTAACTGCAGTGTTATTAGCAACAATGGCTTTTTATGAGGTTTACACCCATCCCGCTTTAATAAGACACAGAACACGCGTCTGCACGAGAGCGACGCTGTTTATCTGTGTGGTGTTATGCCTCACGTATATTTCGCCTCTTCTGGTGGCTTACAGAAGTCAAGGTAAGCTGCGTTTTATTGCAAGCAAATCATTTACAGATCCTCGAGCTCGTGTGGTGACATGAAGCGACTGTGCTTTACGAACAGGCTTCTGGCTGAAGAGCAGCACATATGAAGAGCAAGCGGTCATTCAGTTCCAGTATGACATGATCGTGATCGGAGCAACAGACACAGCAGGGAGCTATATAGCATGGAGCACGTTTCCCAACTTTAATCGACTGATGGGAGATAATTTACGCATCCCGGCTGTCTCTGTGAGAACGAAGCTTTTTATGTCATTCATTTTTGCACTATTGCAATAGTAAACTCTGGAAGCATATGTGACCCTCGACCACAAAACCAGTAATACGGGTCAATTTATTATGAATAATAAAGCTGAATAAATCTGAATAAATAATCTTTCCATTGATGTATGGTTTGTTAGGATAGGACACTATTTGGCCGAGAGACAACTATTTGAAAATCTGGAATCTGAGGGTGCAAAAAAATCAAAATATTGAGAAAATCACCTTTAAAGTTGTCCAAATGAAGTTCTTGGCAATGCATATTACTAATCAAAAATTAAGTTTTAATATATTTACGGTAGAAAATTTACAAAATATCTTCATAATAAATTATCTTTACTTAATATCCTAATGATTTTTGGCATAAAAGAAAAATTTATCATTTTGACCAATACAATGTATTGTTGGCTATTGCTACAAATATCCCCCAGCGACTTAACACTGCTTTTGTGCTCCAGGGTCACACATCAAAACTTAATTTTTTATTGGTAATATGCATTGCTAAGAACTTCATTTAGACAACTTTAAAGGAGATTTTCTCAATATTTAGATTTTTTTTGCACCCTCAGATTCCAGATTTTTCAAATAGTTGTATCTCGGACAAATATTGTCCTATCCTAATAAACCATACTTCAGTGGAAAGCTTATATATTCAGCTTTCAGATGATGTACATCATTTTGTGGTCCGGGGTCCACAAATACAGTGGTGTGAAAAAGTGTTGGCCCCCTTCCTGATTTCTTATTTTTTTGCATGTTTGTCACACTTTAATGTTTCAGATCATCAAACAAATTAAAATATTAGTCAAGAGCTGAAGCGAACTTGGGTTCTGTAGCAGAACAATGATCCAAAACACACCAGCAAGTCCACCTCTGAATGGCTGAAGAAAAACAAAATGAAGACTTTGGAGTGGCCTAGTCAAAGTCCTGACCTGAATCCTATTGAGATGCTGTGGCATGACCTTAAAAAGGCGGTTAATGCTCGAAAACCCTCCAATGTGGCTGAATTACAACAATTCTGCATAGATGAGTGGACCAAAATTCCTCCACAGTGCTGTAACAGACTCATTGCAAGTTATCGCAAACACTTGATTGCAGTTGTTGCTGCTAAGGGTGGCCCAACCAGTTATTAGGTTTAGGTTGCAAACACTTTTTCACACAGGGCCATGTAGTTTTGGATTTTGTTTTCCCTTAATAATAAAAACCTTCATTTAAAAACTGCATGTTGTTTTTACTTGTTATCTTTGACTAATATTTAAAGTTGTTTGATGATCTCAAACATTAAAGTGTGACAAACATGCAAAGAAATCAGGAAGGGGGCCAACACTTTTTCACACCACTGTATTTACGGTAGGAAATTCACAAAATATCTTAATGGAACATGATATTTACTTAATATCCTAATGATTTTTGGCATAAAAGAAAAATGGATAATTTTGACCCATACAATGTATCGTTGGCTATTGCTACAAATATGCCTGTGCTACTTATGACTGCTTTAGTGCTCCAGGGTCAGATATTAAAGCATGGTTTGTTCGTTATTCAGGTCCAGGAGGAGGACAGAAACCAGGATGGGAAATCTGACCTCCTCACGCTCCAAATCAACATCCCACTCAAGCCAGAAGAACAGATGTTCGGCATCCAGCTCCTCATTACCTTCTCATACCAGCTGTTTGTGTGTATTTGTGTGTTGTCCTACACGTCACAAATCCAATGCCTCCCTCTAAATGTGCAGTGTTAATATCTTTCTCCATCTCTCTCTCTCTCTATCTATGACTTATCGGTCTCTCTGTCTGTCTAGCAAATGTCTACGGTTGCGATGCAGACGCTTGCCTTTGTGCAGCATTCCTCGCCTGTCCCAGGATCTCAGCTGTTCGTCTGCGGAGACCTGAAGCTAAACCAGCGAAGCCCTCTTCCTCACCGAGGTTTGCATAGTATCTACAACGTGAGTATAACCCGAGAACCCCGGCGTATGACCTACATGCAGACTAATCTGATGATTCACTCATTGCTGGAAACCGGTTTGACTTGCGAAGCAAAAAAATTCAGCGATTGGAATTATTTGGAACGTATTTGATTTGAGTGCAGATTGTGTTTTGCTAGGTATCGCTGATCGATGCATCCAGTCCGTTTGCGAGTACATATGACCTGGCCAACATCATTAGACTCTACCAGCAGAGAAACTGTAAGATAAGGAACATATCATTATTGTCATGAATATATCCAGTGCCTCTCTCGTCATCCTTGTTTTTGCTTCATTGCTTTCAAAAATAAGAGATTTGCATTGACTCTAGGCTGTATTTTTCAGTGGCGTCCTCCTCTAGGATGTTCTTAGCTTATTTCTGTGTTCATCACCTGCTGCTGTATTTTCTGTTTCTTTGTTATGGAATACTAAAACCTTATCTGTCAAATCTCTGTCGATCTCAAATGTGTCTGTCAGTGAGCACTCACCTCTCAGGTGTCGTTCCCGTGTGGACGGTGGGCAGAGCTGCACATTCTCCATTCCAGATCAGCGCTCAGATCAACTATCCCGTCGAGACTATTACATATCCTTTACATTTACGTGTGCTTTAGATATTTGTATTCAATACACAAAGAGAGCTTTCTTCTGTGGAACACAAATAAGCTAATTGAAGAACAATGGGATCCAAAAAAGTTCAAGAGTTTGAGATCAGTAAGATTTGAATGTTTTTAATGGAGTCTCATCCATTAGTCTTTAATGGCTCATCAAGGCTGCATTTATTTGATCAAAAATACAGAAAGAAACACTAATATTGTGAAATATTATTACAATTTAAAATAATGGTTTTCTATTTTAATATGCTTTGAAGTATAATTTATTTTTGTGATCAAAGCTGAATTTTCAGCATCATTACTCCAGTCTTCAGTGTCACATGATCTTCAGAAATCATTCTATGCTGATTTATTATCAGTGCTGGACACAGTTGTGCTGCTTAATATTTTTGTAGCCTGTGATTTTTCAGGATTCATTGACAAATAAAAAGTTTATTCAAAATAGAAATCTTTTCTAACAATATAAATGTTATATTGTTACAAAAGATTTGGATTTCAAATAAATGCTGTTCTTTTTTCCTTTATTTAATCAATAAAGAATCCTGAAAAAAAAGTATCACAGGTTAAAAAAAAATGGTCTGGGGCTGTTTTGCTGCTTCAGGACCTGGAAGCTGTGTGATAAATGGAACCATGAATTCTGCTGTTTACCAAAAAATCCTGAAGGAGAATGTCCGGCCATCTGTTTGTGACCTCAAGCTGAAGCGAACTTGGGTTCTGCAGCAGGACAATGATCCAAAACACACCAGCAAGTCCACCTCTGAATGGCTGAAGAAAAACAAAATGAAGACTTTGGAGTGGCCTAGTCAAAGTCCTGACCTGAATCCTATTGAGATGCTGTGGCATGACCTTAAAAAGGCGGTTAATGCTCGAAAACCCTCCAATGTGGCTGAATTGCAACAATTCTGCATAGATGAGTGGACCAAAATTCCTCCACAGTGCTGTAACAGACTCATTGCAAGTTATCGCAAACACTTGATTGCAGTTGTTGCTGCTAAGGGTGGCCCAACCAGTTATTAGGTTTAGGTTGCAAACACTTTTTCACACAGGGCCATGTAGTTTTGGATTTTGTTTTCCCTTAATAATAAAAACCTTCATTTAAAAACTGCATGTTATGTTTACTTGTTATCTTTGACTAATATTTAAAGTTGTTTGATGATCTGAAACATTAAAGTGTGACAAACATGCAAAGAAATCAGGGAGGGGGCCAACACTTTTTCACACCACTGTATTTACGGTAGGAAATTCACAAAATATCTTAATGGAACATGATCTTTACTTAATATCCTAATGATTTTTGGCATAAAAGAAAAATGGATAATTTTGACCCATACAATGTATCGTTGGCTATTGCTACAAATATGCCTGTGCTACTTATGACTGCTTTAGTGCTCCAGGGT